TACAGGTGTCCAGAGTGAAGGCTGCATAATGGAGTGGACTTTGTGGGGAGGGATTGCATAACAATGAAAGAGTTTTTCTTTTTCTTTTCAGGGAGAAGAGTGAATTGGGAGGGTGGGGGTGGGCAGGGAGAAAAGTGCAACAATGAATGACTGGAAACCCTAAGTCTCTGTAAACTTTCATTAAAATTAATTGTTTAAAAAAGGGGAAAAACCCAAACTGGAAGACCGCACTGGCCAGTTCTGTTCTGACTCAGTGACCCGCACAGCTTCATGCCTGCGCAGTGGGGTGAAACGCTTCCTGCCTCATCCCCACAATCTCCTGGGTCTCCATGGGCCTCTCTGGGGCTGATTTTCTTCCTCGTCTGTCTTGGACTGGAAACTCCACGGAAGCCTGTTGGGCGTCACACCACCACACAGGCCTCCGTGTCCAGCACTTGTGACTGTGCGCGTCTGGTCGCTGTGTGAAAGGTAAGAATTCTCCCCGAGTCACTTCCCTTGCCATCAAACAGTGTGACTAGCCTAACCGAGCGCCCAGTGCCACATGCTGGTTAAATGGACCAGACGCTGCACTGTCCTAGGAAGTGGGACAGAACCTCACCAAACTCACGGTCACCAGGCCTGGCTCGGGTGAGGGTGCAGACACCCTGGACTTGGGGGACTGCTGAAACCTCATCAGCACCACAGTCTCCGCTGACACATGGCTGGGGGCAGGACATGCACTGGCCAGGACAGGAACCCGGGTCTCCTGCACAGAGAACACTGGCCCAGCTATGGTCTGAAGTATTCTGGTCGTTGTTGCTCTTTGCCATTGAGTTGAACTGACCCACAGCGGACCCTCTGCAGGTTTTCTGAGCAGTAAATTGCATGGAAGGAGGTGGCCCATCCTTCTCCCACGGAGCATTTGGTGCCTTTGAACTGTGAGCCTTTGGGATTGCAGCACTGCCTCTTACCACTAGGCCACCAGAGCTCCCTGAGGGGTTCTGCTAAGAGGGGGTGTTGGAGGGCGGTGGTAGGTGTTGAGGACAGAACAGCATCAATGGAGACTTTCCTTTGGTGTGACAGTCTCAGCCTGTGGTTTGTGGGGTCCCTGAGAAAGCTGAACCAGCTCAGCAAAAGGAACACCTGGTGAGTTCCGGGCCTCGCCTTGGGCAATGGCGCTCTCTGGGGACATTTGTGGTGGTCACAACTGCAGTAGCTGCCACTCAACACTGAGCTAGAGAGCAGGGGTACTGGTTAGCACCCCACAGCACAGAGGACAGCCCCAGCCAGGAAGGATCCTGCCCCAGGTACCGTTAGTGTCACAATCAAGCCTGCGGCCGCTTCTACACCTGTCACAACAAAGGAATCCAATTTGACACCTTTGATCTGTGACTTCTTTAACTGAACATAATGTGTTCTTTTTTTTTTTTTTTTGGTTGAAAAAGTATGTTTTTGTAATTTTTTTAAATGAAAGTTTACAGAGACTTTGGATTTCCATTCATTCATAGTTGCACACTTTCCTCCCTCCCTCCCCCTCCCCACAATTAGCTTTTCTCTTTGAAAAGTAAAAAAAAAATCATTGTTACACAATTCCTCCCCCCACCCCCAGTCCACTCCACTATGTAGCTTTCATTCTGGACTCTTGTCATAACAATAATACCTAACCATATATTCTTCCTAAACAGTTTTCTCCACCATTTGTTTAAATGCAGTATACATTATTTATCCCCTCTTATTTTCCCCCCAACTCTGATGTCTGCCCCGCTTTACAACAGTGGCACTATGCAGTATTTCTCCTTTTGTTATTGAGACATTTCACTCAGCATAATGTCCTCCAGAGTCACTCATTTTGTATAATATTTCATGAGTTTCTTGTTTTTCAATGCAGCATAGTTTTTCATTGTGTGAATATATATATATATATATTTAGCAAAATGTTTTGAAGTGAATGTGTTTCATTAAAGGTTCACCACCTTTAACGTGCTCTTGGTTTTTATATATTTGTCGTAAATATAAAGGTAGGGAGCTCTGGTGGCCTAGTGGGTAAGAATTGTGTTGCCAACCCAAAAGACAGGTGGTTCAAATCCACCAGCAGCTTTTGGGAGAAAGATGGGTAAGCTCTCCTTGTGTGTGATGTCCAGCCTCTGAAAATCCACTGGAGGGGCGGCTATGAGTCACTTCTGACTCAAAGGCAGTGAAAAAAACCCTTTCCCTAAAGGCAACAAGCACAAGCCATGTCTACAGTCTTCCCATGTGCAGCTCGGTAGAAACGATGTTTAACATGCTGTTTAACCGCCACCCATTTCTGAACTTTTAATCAGCCACTTTCTTTTTTTTTTTAAATGATTTTATTTTCTTATTTTTGTGTGTGTACCGTCAAATTGGATCTCACTGGTACAGGAGGAGATTGTCCCTCCTTCTCCAGCAGAGCATCCGGTGGATTCGAACTGCGCACCTCTGTGATTACAGTGCAACTTCTTACCACTAGGCTGCCAGAGGTCCCCAGTCACTTTCTTTTAAAAAGTTATTTTATTTTACTTTTAAAATGTTTTTTATTTTAATGAAAATTTACAGAGACTTAGGCTTTCCAGTCATTCATTGTTGCACTTTTCTCCCTGCCCACCGTCTCTCCTCCAAATCACTCTTTTCCCTGAAAAGAAAAGAGAAAAACTCTTTCATTGTTGTGCAATCTCTCCCCCCAAGTCCACTCCACTATGCAGTTTTTCCTCTGGAATTCTGTCATGACAAGAATACCCACTCATATGTCCCTTTTAAACAGTTCTCTCCCTCAGCTGTTTCAATGCAGTATACATCATTCCTCCCCTCATTTTCTGTCTTCCCTCAACCTTGATGTCAGTCCCATTTTACAACACTGACCTTATTCAATATTTGTCCTTTTGTGACTGAGATACTTCACTCAGCATAATGTCTTTCAGGGTCACCCATTTTGCATAATATTTCCTTGTTTTTCAGTGCAGCATAGTATTCCATCGTGTGAATATACCAGAGCTTCTCTATCCATTCGTTTGTTGATGGGTAAAAATGATTTTCTTTTCATTGTTAAACATATACACAGCTGAACATGCACCACTTCTTTCACACGTGCAATTCAAGGACCCTGGTCACGTTATTCACGCTTGCCGCTGCCCTCCCCTTTCTGACCTGTGCATCACTATTTACACAAACTCTCTACCCCCTTAACTACCTACCTGGCTAACCTTTTTCATTGCTGTTGCCAATCAGACCCCATATGAAACAGCAGGATCTTTAGAAGAGCACAGTCCTCAAGGAATATGTATTTCCCTCGACCCCACTGGGTCAGATCTGACTCATAGCTGACCCTCCAGCGGGTCTCCAGGAGGCTGTAAACCACGGGGTGGGGGTGGGGGGATATTGCCCGTCTTTCCCCCATGAAGCTTCTGGGGGATTTGAACTCCCAGAGAGGCACCTATTTTGGGTCAGCAGCTCAGCTCCCTCTGGACGACACCACCAGAGCTCTCTACGTGTATTTGCATATGTATTTATACGCTGTTGTTATTGTTTACTGTCCAGTTGGAATGGACCCATCGCTGGTCTTCTGGTGGGTTTTCAGAGGCAGCATGGGAAGAAATTGCCCAGCCTTCTCCCGTGAAGAAGCTGGTTGCCTCGAACCACATGCTTTCGGGATTGCAGCCAGCACGGCTTCTTGCCTAGGCCACCAAGGCTCTCTATGTAATTATACAGGTATCTAATTGGGTTTTTTCCTCCCCTTATGAATAAGTAAACTACTGTTTGGTTTAAAGAATTTCAGGGGATATTTTTGGTTTGAAGCTGAAGTTTTAAAGATGATCCCAGAGCCGTAATTTCAGAGCCTCGATGACTCCATGAGAATTGTAAATTCTGTTGCACTTTCCCCCTCTTTGTGATAAAAGTTCTTCTGCAGACTCTTTGAACGAAATGTTCAGTAATAGTAGCTATTGAACCCTGTTTCATCCTGTGCTGTCTTCACAATTTGTGACACATTGAGCTCCTTTGCAGTCACTAAGTGACCCATCTAACCACAGGGTCTTCCTCGCCCAAAAGATGAATTGATGCCTTTGAGCTTTGGTGTGGAGAAGAGTGCTGAATAAATACCCCATGAACTGTCGAAAGAATAGACAGATACATCTTTGAGAAGGTGCAAACCAGAGTGCTGCTTGGAGGAAAGATAATAAAGCTGTGTCTCCAATCCCAGAGAAGCGCAGTTCGAATCCACCAGATGCTCTGCTGGAGAAGGAGGGACAAACACCTCCTGTACCAGTCAGATCCGATTTGACAGTACAAAAAAACTGTGTCTCACATACCTCGGGCATGTTGCTAGGAGAAGCTATTCCTTGGAGAGGGACATCACAAAAAAATAATAAAAGGTGGGCAGCATCAGTTTCTGGACTTATAGCATAGGAGGGCAATAACCACCGGCCAATCATCTTTTCATTTTGCTATTTTTATCATGGAGAAGTTAAAATTCTTTATTTTATTTATTTATTTTTTTATTTATTTTGTGTGCGTGTACCGTCAAATCAGATCTGACTGGTACGGGAGGAGATTGTTCCTCCTTCTCCAGCAGAGAATCTGGTGGATTTGAACCGTGCACCTCTGGGATTGCAGTAAAATTCTTTATTTTAAAAGAGCCCCCTTTTCAGTTACATGCTTTTTAAATATATCTGCCCATTTAAAGAAAATGATCTACTTTGCCATCACTTTTAATTTCAAGACTGTAATGAAGCAGGTGGATTCCACCTGCAGCGAGTCTGGGTCACACGGCTGTGATGGACGCGGGTGGGTTGACCCCGCCTTTCCAGCGCGCCCCCAGGAAACTACAAGTCCAGCCAAGCCCCGCGCCCGCCGGGCCGGCGGCCGGACTACAACTCCCAGGCTGCCCCGCGGCGCGGCGCGGCGCGCGGACGGGCGGCGAGCGGCGCCATCTTGGCCTCGGCGGCGCCGGATTGAATGAGCCCGCGGAGTGTCGGGCCGCTGTCGTGACCACTCCCGGAGCCCGCGCCGCCGCCATGGCCACGCCGCTGTCCACCCGCGCGGGCGGCGGGCCCGCCACGCCGCTGTCGCCCACGCGCCTGTCGCGGCTGCAGGAGAAGGAGGAGCTGAGGGAGCTCAATGACCGCCTGGCGCACTACATCGACCGCGTCCGCGCGCTTGAGCTCGAGAACGACCGGCTGCTGCTCAAGATTTCAGAGAAGGAGGAGGTGACCACGCGCGAGGTAGGAGGGGCCGGGGCCGGAGCGCGCTGCTTGCGAGGGTCTCCGCACGGCGAGGGTCCCCAGCACCGCGAGGGTCCCCAGCACCGCGAGGGTCCCCAGCACCTCGAGGGTCCCCAGCACCTCGAGGGTCTCCGCACGGCGAGGGTCCCCAGCACCGCGAAGGTCCCCAGCACCGCGAGGGTCCCCTGCACCGCGAGGGTCCCCAGCACCGCGAGGGTTCCCTGCACCGCGAGGGTCCCCAGCACCGCGAGGGTCCCCAGCACCTCGAGGGTCCCCAGCACCTCGAGGGTCCCCAGCACCGCGAGGGTCCCCTGCACCGCGAGGGTCCCCGGGAGCGTGGGGGGGGTCCCTGGGGAGCGTCCAGACAGCAGGTTCCGCGGGCTCGGGGAGGGGCAGCCGCGAGTGAGGGGTGTAGATTGAGGTCCCCGGTTCTTGGTGAAAGAGACATGCAGAGATTCTCGGGACTCGGGGGAGCCCCTGAGCGAGGGGTGCAGACAGAGACAGGCCCCGCGCTCCGAGGGACCCCCGGGAGTGTCGGGGGACTGCTGGTGAAGGTTACACATGGAGGTCCCCGGGAAATCTCGGGGGTCCCCTGAGCGTGGGGTGCATACTGGGGTAGGCCCTGCCCTCTTAGGCGCCCCAGGGGATTTCGGGGTACATGTAGCAGAGGTGCCATCTCAGAAGGCGTGGTCTAGAGAGGGGTGCCTGTAGCCCCCAAGGGAATGGGGCGTTCTCAGGCATCAGTGTGGGTGTGTTCGGTGACCTCGGGACGGAATTTGGGGAATATCTGGTCTGTGAGGAGCGGGAGGGAATCCCAGAGGAGAGGTGGGGGGTGTCGCAGGCCCTGGCCTGAGTTCTCTGTGGAAGTTTGGAGGGGCCTGTGTTGAATCCTGGGGACTTGGGTGGCTGGGTACATACAGGCTGGCCAGTAATTGTGTCCTGGGGGACCTAGGGTGATCAGTCCTCCGTGGTCGTATCTGGTGCCTCAGGGGGCTCCTCTGAGATTTAGAGGGACTTTGGGGAGCATAAGTGACTGAGCAGGAGCCCCTCCGCAGGGAGGCAAGGGGAGGGAAAGTTTAGAGGAGTCAGGGATCCAGCAAGGAGGGGGTTCACTGCTGGCTGGGGGGCTGTTAGAGCCCCACGTTCAAAGAGGTTTGGGAGTGGTGGTGCGTGGTTGTCTGCTTGTCTCTGTGTCTCTGATGGGTTGGTGACCAGAGACCTGAACACCCTCCCTGTCCTGCTGACCATGCCCCACCCAGGACAGTCCATCCAGCGAGGGGGGCTGGGAAAGAACCCACCACCACCCTCACCCCACACGTGGCTTTTTGAGGGGTTTGCCCAGTCACTGACTCCAGAAATTCTGGGTTCCTGAGAACTGAAAATTCTTTTATTGAGAATATACATCTCATTGCCAGGTGGGACCCGGGACTTAACCATCTGAGCCTCTGCTTACCAATCTGTAGAATGGGCCGGGCTTGCAGTGTTGAGGGGAACTGTGTGCCTTCCGTGTGACCCTGGAAGGCCTTTGACTGTGGTCCCTGCCTGCTTTGTTCGTGGTGCTGGTGTGAGTGCAGGTATGCACGTGGAGCCCTGGTGGGCAGTGGGGGATGTCCTGCCACTAACCGAAGGGTCAGCTGTTGGAGTCCACCAGCAGCTCCTCAGAAGAAATGTCTGCCTTTGGGAACATTCCGGCTTGGGACATGAAGGACAGCTCTGCTCTGTCCCCCAGGGTCGCCGTGAGTTAGTGCCGGCTCACCGAAAGTGGGTTGGGGGGTGGGGTGTG